GAAGTTATGACCCGTCAAGTTTCGCGTCGAACCGGCACGGCGCCGGAAGCGTAAATAGTAAATTTATGATAGAGAGAGATTTAGCCTTAGCGCTCTAAACGAAAGTCGTAGAATGTGTTAAACTAAGAACATCGATAAAAAGAACGCCCAAATCTGACTTCGTATGAAGAAGTTATGATTTTTCGAAGTTTCGGATTAGCGGTGTACAACCCGAATTCGAATTTTAGATCGATTGATTTTTAGCCGACACAACCTAAACAAGAATCGAAGATCTCGTTATTAGTAGCGTAACGATAAAAAGACAGACGAAAATGGACATCGGATAAAGAAGTTATGAAGATTTTAACGGACCAATCCTGTCCCGGCCTGTTAAAAATATAACTTTAAAAATAAAGTCAAAATTAGCCGACGGAGTCTAAACGAAAGTTGTAGAGTAGTCTCTCACCTACGCGTGGATATAAAGAACGTCAAAAACGGAGTTCGTATGAACGAGTTACAAATTATAATAGCATATTTACGTATTAAAATAAAGTATAAATCATGTATACGTACACATATATATACATATGTATATATCATTAGAAAGGTATCGACGATGCGGTCATTATAAGACTAATGTTGAGTTCTTTCGACATTAGTTTAGTACAAATATAGTTATTATAGAGGGGTGTTTAGTTTTTTATATAACTAAAAGGTCATTAAGTAATTATGGAGGGTAGTTTTTGAAAATTCAATTAGTATAAATAAAGCCTTGGGCTCTCATATTTCTTGCACATTCTCTTGATTCAAGAGTCTTTCTCTCCTTATCCCCGAGCATTTCGGTCCCTCGTGATTCGACTTCTCTTTCTGTAGTTTAGTATAGTAAGGTGAGCGCTGAAGCGCTGCACGAATCTTTCTTAGAAAGATTCAGCGACGAAGTTCTGCCCTGCAGAGCCGACTCCTAGCTAAAATCCCCTTGAAGTAAGTTATGCTTACCCTATTTTAATAAGTTTATATTTAAATTAGTATTGTTATTATAAATTTATAATAATATTTGAGCTATTATTATGACTTATATAAGTGTCGTTATAATATCTTTTAACTACTCGCGGTACGGGGAATCTGGTTTAAACGGCCGCATAGGGTTGTTGGATTTCAGAAGTGCTATACGCCAAAATGGTCCTGCCCTCCGGTGTTTTATGTCTGGCCCCTGTCTGTACATAGTAGTTGGAAAGTATTGTTTAAACGCTTATATAATAATAATAATAATAATAAGACTAATAATTAGTGACAGTAATATTAGACTAAAATCTAGTGGTGATAATATTAGGTTTCGAAGCGCTGTCCGAGTACCGAGTCACCACCTTCTCAGGTGAGTGCATAGTCCCTTTCATCTTACACATAGATATGAAGTATTTTATATAAACTATGTGCTATGTGTGCATATTATCTGAATACTTGCTGTCTATGCTGGATGAACGTTTTATACATGTTTTAAAGAATTTAAGTTGTATACGTATTTTATATATACGAATATGTTAGGTATGAGATGGGTAGATGAATGATGAGAGATAGAAGATGATACATTGGCAGCTATAGACTTAGTGCCTATGGGACAAACACCGGTAGCTATGGACTTAGTACCTGTTAAACGTTGGTAGCTATGGATTTAGTACCTGTTGGGAATTGGTAGCTATGGACTTAGTACCTGTTGAACATTGGTAGTTATGGACTTAGTACCTATTAGATAAAGACTGGTAGCTATGGATTTAGTACCTGATGAATAGACCATAGCAGCTATGGAATTAGTGCTTTATGAACGAACATTGGCAGCTAAGGATTTAGTGTCAGTCCTATAACCCTGGAGGTAAGGGACTTCGGAATAAACGAATGTAGGATAGATGACTCTTAGGTTAAATCCTTAAAGAGTAAAGAAGATAATGGGGATGGGTAATTGGGTTGATTGTTTGATTGAACATAGTAATTATATTATTGTGGGTTGAAAACCCTATGTACTCACCAGGTTTCCCAACCTGACCCACTCAGTTTATGTATATCACAGGCGACGAAGTGAAGTGACATTACACTGAGAGATTTAAAAGAGATGTAGATCACTAGTGTAAATCATTGTAAGTTCTGTTTATGCTTATGTTTCGGTATTAACGATGACATCCCAAACATTTTAAAATGAAATAAATACGTTTCTTCGAAAATATTTTAATAACGTATTTACCATGTTTTTCTGGGAACAAATTCCGCAACCTTTTTATAAAATGAAGTACTCTGATTTTTATAAAGCATAAACAAAAAAATCGGTCTTTTCTGGCCGTGATTTTGGGGATGTCACATCATCTGTTCACTGAAATGATTTTTCTAAGGGTAAAGTTTCCAACTTTACTCGTTGATAGCTCTTCTTGAAGGGTTTAGACAAAACCCTAATTCCTTTAGGACATAGATCTTGTCTAAAAAGCCTTAGCATCTCAAAACAAAACTTGCAAACCTAGATCTAGGGCCTAGGTACCAGTTAACCACGAAAAGTCTCAAGCTTGCTTCCATGCATGGCCTTTTTAAGCTCAAAAAGCCATTATAACGTCCTTAGCATTTGCATGGGGACTCTAAGGGCATAAAGTTTGCACCTTTATGTCCTCATAGCCCCTTGAGACACTAAATCTAAAAGAATACCCACCAGGGTTGATCCTTTCCCAAAAGCTATCAATATTGGACTAAAAACCCACATAAAAATGGAAATGAATAGATCTAAGAAAAGAATGATAAAGTTTGAGGCTTTATTACCAGAAACTGCAACTAAAGGGATGAAGCTTCTGGATCTACTCCTTCTCTCTTGATTCCTCTACCTTCCTTTTCTTTCACAAGCTTCAAAAGACACAAAGAACACTCAAAATGGCTTTCACACTCAAAGAACACTCTAGGGTTTTCGTGGATGAGGGGTTTGGACAAGGAGGCTGTAAATGAGGCCAATGGGTGGGGATTAGGATGTTTAAATAGGATACAAAAACCCCGAATTAGGGTTTCACCCTGTCCGGGCTACTCGCCGAGTCGATAACTTAAACCCCGCGCAAAGACTTCCCTCTACTCGACGAGTTAGGGCCACCAACTCGTCGAGTCCTTCTTTCAAAGTAAATAAATAATTAAATTAAATTCGTACCATGGAACCAGACGTTACCTGATCGATAGACATGAGCACTAAGTTTTTGTTCCGTATTAAGATTTGACGAAGGTGAAAGCAGAAGTTGAATGTGAACGCGGTTGTAGATCCTGTCGCATTAGCTAAAAAAGGAGACGGAGGAACAACAAACCGATGAAACTATATTAGCAATAACATCTGAATCGTACACTTATATATAAGCGTGATAGTTAGTAATACCATCATTTTTCTTGTGTTCTTCATGGGAATACTTTCCTATAGCCTATGGTCTTGATGTCTTTGTTTAGGAGGATGAATCCATAGCTTTTAGTGCTCTAGATTATAATAATGCATTTACGTCTGTAATTCCTAAATTTTAACCACAACTGGTATGTTACCTGAAAACCGGCTACAAGTGTAAAAATGAACAAATTAAACGAAACTTCGGGCTTTACAAATCCTAAAACACGTCCAAGGGTAAAACCGATATTTTTGTGAAAACTTAAGGGCTTTTATGTCATTTTCCCCTGTAAAAACTGTTGGAAACCTTTCCCGACGACATATCGTCGATATAGCCCTCCCTGTCTCGATAACATGCCGTAGGTATAGATTTATAATAATTTTTATTTTACCTTGAAAATCTTTCCCGACGATCCTTTATAGACGACAAGTCATCGGCATAGCTAGATAGATTTATACTGACAACATTTTTGACTTTTGCCTACGGAGCTGTACCGACGACTTTGTATGGTCGGCAAGTCGTCGGTATAGATTTTACCGACGACACGTCGTCGGCATAAGTGTTGAAAAAGTCGTCGATACAGGAGTCGTTCGTTGTAGTGAAAACTATACTTATTTAACTGTTTATATATGAACTTTTATCTTATTCAACTAAAAACTGAATTATTATTTTAAGAATACATACTTTTGCTAATAATTAATATTGAAACGCAAAGTTCAAGTAACTGGACAAATTAAGAAGAAAATGTTATAAAACTCGTTTTCGCCAAGCCGGCCAATTTAAAAATTCGATAATTGGATTTATACATGGTTCTTAATTATCTTCAAATAGAATATATCCCTTCAAAGTTTGTAGAGATGATATTGGAATTGCAAAAGTGTACATCAAAATGTCAATAGCGACATGCACTCATTCAAAACAATGCAAAATAGGAATCTATATTAGGACTTGACATAAATATAAAAAAGTGGGGTCGGGGATTCCAGGATAAAGGGAGCTCATGCGGGTTTATAAATAGATAGTCAGGGGTATAGTATAGGGCAACGCATAAACCAAACCAAACCAAATCAATCATATATATTCATACTAATCCTATATTTGATCAATGGCACCAGTGACAGTAGTGCGTGTGTTTGGGAAGCCAATCACTGATGGAAGTCGCGCCCAAAGGGCCCAAGCAGCTTTGAAGAACATGAACGCCGATGGAAAGTCCGACCAGGCGACGCAGTTTACAAATGAGTTAAAGAAGACGACACCAGCCACTGTAAGCACCACAATTGGCTGGGTTTACAATGCCACCGGTGATGAAGTGAAGTACGTGGGTGAAAAGAACTGGAGCGGATCTGTCGTTGAGAAGTTCCCTGTAAGTATCATGAACGGCCAGTGGGCTGTTTTTCAACATGTTGGCACCAAAGGCAAAGATCGCCAAGGATCAGTTGCTGCTGTTGTATACGGCATCGAGGATTTTGCTGATATGATGGTCGCTTGGAACAACCCTTGGAAAACTGCCACGGGAGGAAGTAACAACAGTGTAAGTTTATTATTATAATCATTTTAATTAATCACGTACGTACACTATATATATGCAGAAGCATGCATGCATGCATGCTTCATATTAATTAATTAATATTTTTTTATTTATTAGTTTGTATAAATTTGTACACCCTAGGCTTACTGTGAGATGAACGGCCCGGGATACTTTGGTGATTCATATGACTGGGATGCAGCTAAACAAAAGTTGCTCAACTCTAAGACTGAAACCACAACAACTATGAGTGGTTATGGAACAAAAGTGAGCATTAAAGCAGGTGGCAATGCTCCGATCTACACTGCCATTTTCTATATTGAACCTTGAAACCTCCAAATATAATAATAATAATAATAATAATAATAATAATAATAATAATAATAGTAAACGACTTGGCTGTTCTGCTATCAGCCACGTACGTACTTTGTTTTCTAGCTAGTTCTCCGTCGATCGAAAAGAGAATGAAAAATGTATGTGTGCTTTCTATGTACCGATAAGCCAAACTTATTAGTATCGAGTTTGTTGGCTTATATGATGTTTCCATAAATAAAAAAATATATCTTTCGTTGTCTTTGCTCTCACTCAAACTACATATAACTTAGCTGTACTGTGATGATATATAGAGAAATTAAATTAAATAACTTTTACATTTTCTTCCTACTCATCTCTACTCATCCTTTACATTTAATGAAATTAATTATGTTTTAATCAACTTTTCACCATTTAATATGTATAGAAAGATAGATATAAAAAAAAATTTAGAAGAATATTTTATTTCTCTTATATAATCTTGTACATGTTCAAGTAAGAAGACTAAAATATTGTCTCATGCATGCTCTCTCAATTCGGTATAGGATCGATTTTTGAGCATCATCGAATTTAATTTTTCAATTCAATTGATATATTCAGTTCACTATAAACGCTTTTGGGGACAACATTTTGGCATGCACTAGACAAATCATGAGTTATATATATATATATATATATATATATATATATATATATATATATATATATATATATATATATATATATATATATATATATATATATATATATATATATATATATGGGAAAAATGAATATACCTTAAGGGTATATAAGCTTAGGTACTCAAACTCATAATAATACGTCGTTTTGTTTGATATATTCATTATAATATTGTTAAACTTCAATCATTAACTTGATTTATATTCAATATTTTTAAATTTTCACTATCATCTTCCTCTTACATCACAACTTTTTGTCGAACACTTAGTAGGCTATATATATTATTGTTGAAAATGACAATTATGTAAGAGGAAGATAAATATGAAATTTATAAAAATCTTTGAAGTAATGCAAGTTAGAAGTTGAATTATAAGAACATTGGACAATTACAATATCTATATATGATACAAAACGATGTAGTATGGTGAGCTTGGGTACCTAAGTTTATATACCCTTAAGGGTATATCCACTTTTCCCTATATATATATATTATATATATATATATATATATATATATATATATATATATATATATATATATATATATATATATATATATATATATATATATATATAAGTTGAAATGTTTCTAACAACTACTGTATTGTGATTTTCTATGGACCAATGTATGAGAGAAATTATAGTAAAAGTCAATGTCACTAACATGATTATAGGAAATATTTATAGAAGTTATATATCAAAAAATAATAAAATAAATAAATAAATATGGGTGATTTAGTAATTTGATATAACTTCTATAAATATTTCCTATAATCATGTTAGTGACATTGACTTTTACCATAATTTCTCTCATATTTATCTACGGCCGTCCTTTTTCCCTCACCCCACTTGTGTTTGTATGTGTGTGTACGAGAGCACATGCATTCTTCATCATCGACAAACGCTCCTGCATCCCTCATCATCATCATCCCATGTTGTGATCTCCATTTTCAACACCTCCTTCCCAATCGCCGACCACCATTACCATCCAATACCACCACCAACCACTACTTTCTTCCACGATAATCAGGTTCAGTTTTCAAAGTCGTCTTCAAGCAATCATGTACGATTCTCCCTTGATTTGATTTCTCTTTTGTCTTTAGTTGAAGTTAATTGGATTTTAGCTACATATGATTTGGATTTCAATAATGTTGTATGTCTGATTGCTATTGTTTTCTTCACTGATTGAAAAAATTGTTAAATATCTACCAATTTATTTTTTCTTCTGATACTAAAAAATCCAAATATATATGAATATGGTGTAAAATTAAAATGCTTGTTAGGGTATTTTATTTTCTAATTTCCAACCGTATTGAAGTTTTCATATAATACTATTGTTTGTAAATTGTAATAGTTAAACTTTTAAAGAATCGATACTAACCATGTGCGAATGGTTCACATAAGCTAAATCAAATTGATATAATTGTTTTTAATCATATAAATTATTAGTTGTAGATACATAGTTAAGAGGTTTAGGTCCAATCCAGTTAGATATTGTAACATCCGGAATGTAGAAGACTAATTATGGAAAATAAAACATCATTTTGAAAGGTCTAATCGTCAAGTTTACGGTATAAACTCGACGCGTAGGAGTTAGGAGCCACACACATTTTCGAAAGTGAACTCGAGGAGTTGGATGGAACAACTCAACGAGTTGGTCGCTGTTTGAGAAACCCTAAATTCAAGGTTTTTTCATCCTATTTAAACAACTTAAGCTTTAGGGTTTGGCCTCATTTCCAGACCCCATTGTCCAAAACCCTAACCTCAAAACCCTAAGGCTATTTTTGAGTGTTGTGAGTTCATAAGGAGCATTTGTTGGTGATTCTTGAAGGAGACTTGAAGATGGAAACACCTAGCTTGGAGGAGTGACACTAGATCTAGAAACCTTTCATCAAGAGCTGCATCTTTGAGGTATAAAGTCATCACCTTGACCTATAGCTTACTAGATCTCTTTTCTTTAAGTTTTAGCTTGAGCTTTGGGGCTTTGATCAAAATGTCCAAAGAGAAGAGGTTTCCAGGGGTTAATGGGATAGGTCTAACCCCTATATGACCTATTGAGGCTTAAAGTTGCAAACTTTAATGGCCTTCATGTCCCATTCATGCAATATGTCCATTGTGAAGCCAAATATGGATATTTGAGGGTGTTTCTAGCATGCATGAACATAAAGTTGGAAACTTTACGTGATTTATCCACCTTGGGACATCAGATTTGTATGTTGTTGGGTTGTAGTATGAGTTTAGGGCTTAAGGGATCAAAACCACCTCTAAAGAAACTAGAGTTTGAGTTTTAAGCTTAGTAGATGGTTCTTGAGGGTAAAGTTGGAAACTTTAGCCTTCTAAATATCATAATGGAGAGAACCTGAGGTTTGGAGCTATTGGATTTGAGAGAAATGGCTTAATGCATTAAGCATGGTTAACAGACTGAAGAACTCGACGAGTTCACAAGGAACTCGGCGAGTTGAAACGAGTATGTCCCGATTCTGTTAAAGGAACTCGGCGAGTCCATAGGGGAACTCGACGAGTTGATTCGAAGTGTCTGGATCCTATTGAAAAGGAGAGAACTCGGATTTAAAGTAGAACTCGACGATTTGATTCGTAGTGTGTGACATCCCCAAAATCACGGCCAGAAAAGATCGGTTTTGTTTATACTTTATTTCAAAATCAGAGTAATCTTTTAATAAAAGAGATGCGGAATTTGTCCCAAAACAATATTATGATAAAGATTTATCAAAAGCATTTCCATATAAATGTATTTCATTAAAAAGACTCGGGATGTCATGTTCGATACAGTACATAAGTATAAACAATACAACATAGGCCTTACTACATTATTCCGTATTTACAGGCCTAAAATCCATTAATCTCTTATCCCAAGACATCACATATATGCTCATGCGCCACTACCTGTAATACAAGAAACTGAGTGGGTCAGGTTTGGGAGCCTAGTGAGCACATAGGGTTTTCAACCCACAATAAATAAGTTTATTAACTTTATCAAACCAAATAAAGCCGATTACCCATTCCCGTTATCCTCACTTTACGTCCCTAAGACATCTAACACAAGGGACCTAGTCTAAGGACTATCATCGGGATGGACACTACTGTCAGGGGGATTCCTCAGCCGTAAATGTTCTTAAGGCAACCATGTGGGGGATGGAGTACATCTGGTGAGCACACAGTTCAAATAAACACACTGTTCGAATAGACACCTACAGGTTACGAGCCTGCTAGTGTTCCACTGGACTGTGTAGAATAGTCCGTGGTCATCATCTATACTTCGCTAGATGACTGATCATCATTAACATCTATAACGAGGCCTCTCATTATTTTATTTTGTCACACAGCAACTATTACATCTACCCATGTTTTACCCAACACATTTTGTAGATATAAAATACATATACAGTTTAAATCATTGAAAACATGTATAAAATGTTCATCCAGCATAGATAGCAAGTATTCAGATAATATGCACACATAGCATGTAATTTATATAAAATACTTCATATCTATGTGTAAGCTGAAAGTAACTATGCACTCACCTGAGAAGGTGGTGATTCGGTACTCGGACAGCGCTTCGTTTACTTTAAAATAATTTCCTTCGATGAAACCTAGTATTATCACCACTAGATTTTAGTCTAATATTACCGTGACTAATTATTAGTCTTATTATTATTATTATTATTATTATTATTATTATTATTATTATTATTATTATTATTATATAAGCGTTTAAACAATACTTTCCAACCACTATGTACAGACAGGGGCTAGACATAAAACACCAGAGGGCAGGACCATTTTGGTGTATAGCACTTCTGAAATCCAACAACCCTATGCGGCCCTTTAAACCAGATTACCCGTACCGCGAGTAGTTAAAAAGATATTATAACGATACTTATATAATTCATAATAATAGCTCAAATATTTATTATAAGTTTATAATAACAATACTAATTTTAAATATAAACTATATTTAAAATAGGGTAAACATAACTTACTTACAAGGGGATTTTAGCTAGGAGTCGGGCTCTGCAGGGGCAGAACTTCGTCGCTGAATCTTTCTAAGAAAGATTCGTGCAACGCTTCAGTGCTCACCTTACTATACTAAAACTACAGAAAGAGAAGTCGAATCACGAGGGACCGAAATGCTCGGGGGATAAGGAGAGAAAGACTCTTGAATCAAGAGAATGGTGCAAGAAATATGAGAGCCCAAACCTCTTATTTATAGTAATTGAATTTACAAAAACTACCCTCCATAATTACTTAATGACCTTATAGTTATATAAACAACTAAAAACTCCTTCAGAATACTATTTTAAATATATTTAACGATATTTGCACTAAACTAATATCGAAAGAACTCAACATTAGTCTTATAATGACTGTATCGTCGATACCTTTCTAATGATATATGCATATGTATGTGTGTGTGTATATATATATATATATATATATATATATATATATATATATATATATATATATATATATATATGTACGTATATATGATTTATACTTTATTTTAATACGTAAATATGCTATTATAATTTGTAACTCGTTCATATGAACTCCGTTTTTGACGTTATTTATATCCACACGTAGGTGGAGACGTACTCTACAA